GCTTGAAGCACGTCCACCATAGACTTTACATGTAAACCTGATGCTCCTGATGCTGAAATCGCGTTCGGTGTGAACGCACCATTACACATCACAATCTCATCTATAAGAGAAGTTGGGGGGCGTAGAGGAAAACATCCAGACTTTGACATTACAAAATGTCTCAGTTGTAAATACCTGAAGAACTGTGACTTATGGATGTCAAATTTCTGTGCTAACTGTTCAAATGAGGCAAACTTATTGTCTATATAAAGATCATTTAGAGAAGTTATTCCCTTTAAACTCCAAGTATTGAAAACAGAGTAGAACACTGAATTTACATGACAGTGTTTTTTGTGTTTATCCATTCATGTTATATTGTATTTCACACTATGATCTTGGGGTTTAACTTCAACAGATTTGTGTAAAATTAGCGTCGGGTGACAGGTCTCAGATTTKTTTTCCGCATTGTATACTTCAGCAGGAAGAAACCCTCTGTAGTGACATATACTGCAGCAAAAGGGGTTTCCCAGGWGTTTGGCACAATGTWTTTCAAGGGGCTATGAAAGGTGTGTGCAAAAACGAACGCTGAACAACCACATGACGGCGCGTCATGTGGCGATCAACTGAGCCCTAAACTGTTTGTTTGACAACTAAGRGGAAGGGACATCTATAGAYTGATTGGAAWTAAATGAAAGTTTGTTTAGCCAGWRACAAATTAAATTTTGCTTCTCCTAATTGAACTGAAGAGCTACTTTAAATGTGCTCAGGAGCTACTGGTTGGAGACCCCTGGTTTACACTAAATGCACTTGAGCATCACGGGTGTCAGAATATGCAAAGTGACGCGTGTCAAGGGGCATCGAGAAGTGCTGTGGTGTGTCTAGCTTGGCACATTTTGAGCTTTTGACGCGCATCAAACGTTGGAGCTGTAAAATCTGAACTTTTGCAGCTCAATGCGGAACGTCAACTGATCAGACTCCACTGGCACATTTTCCAATAAGAAGGTTTCCTGAATTATGTCCACTAAGACAGATGGACAGGAGCTCTTCAGCTGAAATCGAGTGCCTGTAGTTGCGGGCACCAGTGCAGGTTAGGGGAGTGTTTACTTGGAGGGTCCCACCAGCTGGCAAAAGGATCCGCAGAATTTGTAAATCCTTTAGGAAGTGCACGCTCAAGTCCAGCCCTAGGCCACTGAGTCGTATCGTTATGGGAAGTGCATGGTGGAGTCGGCTGCTCCAGTTGGAGACGGCCTATTGATTTGTGGTAGTGGAAAATGACTGGCATATTCCGGTGAGTGYAGGCGTACTGTTTGAGTAGAACCCTTCCAGTACATTGAGTATTTCTCATATGCTGTGCTTCATAGGGAGGGAAGAGAGTTCAGAGAGTGGAGGGTTAGACAAAGTAGGGTGAAAATTAGGGAAGGGGTCAGAAATGGTTGGGGGTGTGGTCTGGTAGGTGTAATATGGTTAAGGTTAGGGTTCGTAACTCAAGTATTGCACAGATTTTAATTTTGTATTTTTTGATCCATATTTGTAACTTCGTTAGGGTGACAGTTTGGGTTGGGAGTAGGGTTGGAGGTGGTGTTGGGGTTGGTGTTGGAGTTAGGGTGTTAGGGCTGTGAGTTAAATTTGGGTTTAGGTTGCAGACGTAAATTAAAATACATAAATTGTTATTCAACTATTGTGCTGATTTTATTTCCGAATTATTTTTTTGTTCCATCTTTGGAACTTTGTTATGGTGAGGGGTGGTGTGGCTGGGATTAGGGTTAGGGTTGTGGTTTGGTTTATGTAAGTAAACTGAAATACATTTTAAAATAATAATCACCTAATGTGCAGATTTTATTTCCTAGTTTATTATTTGTCCCATCTTTATAATTTTGTTGGGGTGAAAGTTTTGGTTGAGTTAAAGTTGGGGTTAGGGTTAGGTTTGGTGTTAGGTTGCCAAAGTAAATTCAAATACTTGGGAGACTTGGGAGAGACACCTTGGGCCTACCAGACCTCGATCAAAGGAGAATCAAGCGAGAGTCACTTCAAGCTTTCTGGGCATACTGGTTCCACCTAGTGGTGTTAATGGACAGTGTGTTTTTGAAACCAGGGGCATGGTACCTATACCTTCACAGGTTTCCACCTATAGGAACAGCACTATGGGAAAGGTGACTCCTGGGCTTCAGGAGTATTAACTGCAGCCCAGTCTTCTGTGAGGATTAGCCTCAACCACACATCCTGACACATCCAAACACTGCAGTTTTCTCCCTAAAACCTAAATAAAATCAACACTAATTTAACGTAGATCCAAATTCCTATAATTACTTAGAAATAATTGTTTACCCTCCAAATTTACAGACTTTGTCATCAAAAAAACAGCTCTACTCCACATTTATAATAAAAAAAACTATTCATCACCATATCACCTCCCAATTGGACACAGAACTTGACCTCGGGAACTGAGCACCCCGGGGGCTCCCCACTGACAAGAACATCTGGCGATAAACAGCCAAAATGCTCATTGATCCAGTGAACACCACTGAAGATGAAGTCCTGAAATTATTTTTTAGCACTAGATGCAAGTTAAGACTGAGACAGCCCTACTGTTCCTGTTCTAACTGCACAAAAAAATCAAGCCTCCAAAAGAGAGCAACCTTAAAGGCACAGTGTGTAGGATTTTGTCAATTCTTTTAGCCGAAATTGAGATAATCACTAATGACAATAATAAAAAACGTGTCTAATCATTGCAGACAAAGACCTTGTTTTATTATTTTTACCTTATAAAAAGCTGTTTATATCTCCATGGTCGCGGGTCGCCACCACTGGCAGCCGCCATCTTGTCAACGAAGGCTCATGAAGGACAAACTGCGGTGGCGGCGTCAAAAACGATTTTAGTCGTAATACTATAAATGTAATATTTGTTGTCTGTCATTAGCTACGTTTACATGGACAAAAGTAAATTAAACGGATTAAATGGACGTTCGGAATAAAAATGCGTCATGTAAACAGCGTCACGTAAACAGCTCGTTCTGATTATTCTGATCCGATTGAGCTTGATCCGAATGAATTTTTAATCCGAATGAAAACGGTGGGTTATGCTGATTGATAATCGGAATGAGGTTCATGTAAACACTTAATCGGATCATCTTATTCTGATTGTAGAAAACTGACCTGCGTGCATGTCTGCTGACTTTCATCCACCCGGTGGGACAGCAGCGCTCCAGCTGTGCAGCACCATGCAGAACTTTTCCTCCTCGCTCTCTTAACAGATGAAAAGGGAGGCAAGCAGCAGACGTTGCTTCGCAAAAAAATAAAAATAAAAAGCACGTATTGCTTCATCTACAGGCTGCAGCTCAACCGAGGAGACGAGTAACGACGTCTCTACCGTTATTAAAGAGTGACTTACCCCAAAATTAACTTTTTTTTAGCTGATAAACTGTCTAGAATGTGTCTAAAATGTTATATAGTAC